GAATGGGTTGTCGACGTCTCTAAAGAAACAAAATCGATTGACTACCTGTCTTAAAAACAAATGGGACAAGCCCAGTCCTCCATTTCGCACTCGAAGGAATAAATTTGTCCGACTCGATCTTTCCCAAGACGATTCCCACACAAAGACAGCGAACACACGGTGAAATGTTTGGATGTTTACCCTTGAACAATGTAACACTTGTAAGATATACCAAATTTTACTCACTAAGAATATGTTGCAAATTGTGGCTTTAGAAAACATAAACCAATTCCAGCCATTCCACTTGTTCACTCTTTCCCGCAGGTTATCCACTTGGCTCCTCCAGTACGAATCGCTGTCTTTGTAGCATTCGAGGGGGGCACCCAAGTATTTCACCGGTGTCGTAACAAACCTTATGCTGGCAAAACTGTCTGGGGTTTCAACCCAGTCACCGTGCCAAACGCCAAGGCATTTTCCCCAGTTTACAGCGCTGCCACTTGCAGCACAGAAGTTAGTAATGCATTTACAGCATCTGCAATGCTGTCAGAGTCCGCGCAAAAAATGGCAATATCGTCCGCATAAGCCAACAGCCGGACTTCAACCTCGTGCAGCTTGAACTCATGGACACAGTCATTCTCCATGACACTCAAACAAAAGGACTCTATGTACAAACAAAAGAATAGTGGTGAGAGAGGACAACCTTGACGGACCGAACGCTTGACTAGGATGCGCTTCCCCACCACCTTGTTAACGATTAGCCGCGTTGAGCAGTCTCGGTACGCCATGGCAACCCCCTCTTTGATTATTTTCCCTAAATTCACATAATCTAAGATGCACAGCAGAATTTTATGAGGCACCCTGTCAAAAGCCTTCTCGAGGTCGATTTGCAGCATTGCGACTCGCGCACCAATAGCGTCGCAACATTCGAGGATGCTCCGGGCTGCGTGTATGTTAGTGAGGATAGTTCGACCTTTAATGCCGCACGTCTGATGCGGCCCCACGAGCTCCGTATTGACTGTTTGCAACCTTTCAGCTAGGATTTTTATTAATATCTTGTAATCTCCACTAGTGAGGCAGATTGGGCGGTAAGAATTTACTCTGCGCAGTGAAACGGGGTCTTCCGATTTTGGTATAAGAACAGTGTGAGATGACGAAAAGGACGGGGGTAATATTTTCAGCTCGAATGCCTCATTATAAGACTGGTGTTACTTCAAACTTGAAACACTTATAAAAGGCGGAAGTCAGACCATCAGGGTCAGGCAATTTCCCCGGATGCATACTTTCAATAGCACTGTTAACTTCCTCTTCCGAAATGGGTTCCTCCAATATTTCTTTTGTATTATTGTCAAGCTTTGGCATCAGCGGTAAAAAATCTTTTTTAAAGCGATCAACATCAACTGAGCTGGCGGCGAATAAACCATTGAAGTGCTGAAAGAAAGCACGCTCAATAACATCTGCGACATCGCTGACTTCACCCTCGTGTTCAATTTCTGTTATCCGATTACGTCGCGCATGCCACTTTTCTGAGCCCAACGCCCTTTTTGACGGTGCTTCTGCCATTATCAGTCGCTCGGCTCTTGCCCGAACCATAGCACCGCGGTATCTCTCGACATCGAACCGCTCAATTTTACTTTTAACGCGCGAATATCTTCAAGAAACATGCCGGGCAATCTACATTCTTTGAGAAGCAATTTTTCCAGGTTTCTGCGCATGAGCTTTTCTTCTGCTCCTTTTTCTCTGCTCATAGTGCTCGAGCGTTCCAAAGCCTTCAATTTAACGACCTGCTTGAAGTTCTCCCTTTTTTCTCTGAACGTCTTTTTACTGCGAACTTTCATTTTTTCAACTTCCGTCATTACTTCCTCCATAAATTTTTTCATCACTCAGCAGATTTGAATTCAATTTCCATAGTTGCCACTCGAAGGCCCTTTTCGTTTCTTTCGTGCTAGCTACTACAAAGCTAACCAAGCAGTGGTCACTAAATGAAACGGCGTTAACACGGTATGCCTTGCAAAGCGGTACCAATTCAACACTCACGTACGCCCTATCTAGTCGGGCATAGCTGGCTGCCTGAAAGTGGGTGTACTGCATAGTCCGGCCACCACCGAGACATTCAGCCACATCCTCCAAACCATGTTCTCTTACTGTATCGCTTAAGACAGCCGTACTTGCATCCCTGTAATGTCGTTCGCTAGTTTTGTCTTTGGCTGAAAGGACGCAGTTGAAATCGCCAATAATGATTAGGAGCCTATTACATTTGGTATACTGCTTTAGTTGTTCAAAAAATATGCGTCTTTCGTCAGTGACAGTCGGTGCGTACAAGCATATTACGCGCCATTCCAATCCCGAAAACAAAAGATCACAAACAATGAGCCGACCAGACGGACATGACGTTGAGGCTTCTACTTTAGCACCCAGACTCTGTCTGACGAACAAAACGCAACCGGAAGAAGTCCCTATGGCATGGCTAACTATAACAGAATACCGCGGCAAGAATTGGCGCACCATGTCCCAGTTTCATTGTCGCCATAGACTTTAGTCTCTTGGACTGCCAGTATGTCAAGGTCGAGGTCACTTACTAGCCGATAAAGCGGACATTGTTTTCCCCGTGAGGCCAGGCCACGCACATTTAATGTGGCCACACGGATTGAATTTTCTATTTGCACCATTGTAAGGCTGCGAAAAACCCAGGGGCATGGCGCTTACCTTACAACTGCAATTCCTTCCTGAACGCCTTGTCCCAGTACAGTCCTTAAGTTGGCGAAGGCGGCGTTTCCGCCGTCTTGCGCTCCGACGAAATGTTTGGCCGTGGCCGGATGAGAGGCCGTCGAGCGGGAGTCGTTTTGGCGGGTAATTCGTCCGGCGAGACAGCAGTAGTGCCCTTGTCTTTTTTCCCTTTGTCACGGGGACGCTTCCCCGTCACAGTGCCACTGTCGCTTTCAATCCCAGTCATCGGTTCAGAATCGGAGGGTGTCTCGTCTGCTAAGCCAAGAAACGTGTCGCCGGTGCTGCTTGCATCCAACTTTTCACTGCTTTCTCCTACGCCTTCGTATGGAAGCCCGGCGTCGGGCTTACCTGGTGCTTCACACACGTCCTCTTCTTGATAGCATGACCACCCATCTTCCACAGCAGAGTTTGAGTTAACTCCTGCTGTTTCTTCCGAGTCTGCTTCGTCCATGAGGTGCTCCAGTGCATCACTTTCCCGCGCTGGTCCGGTCACACTGGCATATGTCTTCGCGCGGTCGTCGTCTTCGTGGCCGAAGCGGCGACCATGACCGCAGCGGGGTACTCGGCAGTCGCGACGTATGTGACCGGTACTCTTGCACCGTAGGCACAACGGTGCACGGCCCGGAACGACAACGAGAGTCAGCTCTCCGGCGATCTTGAGCTGGTGCGGAATGTCATCCACCTTGACGTCGGAGTGCAGCTTTAGTCCCACATACCGCGTCGTTGAGCCCTTTTCTGTGATGCCCGGTGCTCGCCACTTCTCCCGTTTCACTTCGAATACTTTCCCATAAGGAGTCAAGGCAACACGCACGTCTTCGTCGGTCACGCCATGCAGCAACCAGTGAAGCTTCAAGCGAACCTCGCGGTTATTTGGGTCAATGAGCAAACATGGGCGATCCTTTACCTTCACATCGATGGCGGAGAACAACTTCCGAGCAGCCTCAGCACTCGTCAGTGTCACAGCCCATACGTGGTTCATTTGATACGCCCCCAACGCCAAAACGTCGTCGAGCGCACCAAGCTTGGCCAAAGTGTCCTGGTAATCTTCGACGTGGTAAGGCCATGCTCTCGGATCACCATGCATGAAAACGGTATTCACAGCGATGCGTCCGGAAGGCAGATTGGGCAGAATCACCTGATAATCGTCGGCGCTAGGCGCAAAAACCCTGTTACCAGCGGCCCATTCGGGCCGCTGATACCGCTCCGTCGGAGCCGAACATTCCGCGACCGTATCGCTCGAAAGCCGGAAGTGGAATGAGCTATCGACGGCAGATGGCGGTACTACGGCGCTGATTCATCCTTTATGCCGAAGGAATCGCAGGCAGTATAGAGGCTGACGAAATAACGAGAACCATGAAGCTGCATGACATTTTGTTACCCACTCACGCGTATTTACCCCCGATGCAAGTAAAATGGCGACGTTTCTGCAACCTTCCCAATCGTCTCGCATATAAACTTTGGGTGCCAGAACACTTTGTGACGCGTGTGACATGTTCTAATTCACTTTATACATTATGGTGCTGCACATGTGGCAATTAATCACTAATTAAAACATAAAAAATAACACAAAAAAGCTTGCTATGTCGAGCCGGATTCGAACCAGCGAGCTATGGATGTACGCAGTTGAAACCTATACAGTCCACCGTTCTACCAACTGAGCTATCGACGGAAAATGGCGACACTATGGCGCTGATTCATTCTTTATCCCGAAGGAATCTAAGGCAGTATAGAGGCTCTTGAAATAGCGAGAACCATGAAGCTGCATGACATTTTGTTACCCACTCGCGCGTATTTACGCATTATGCAAGTAAAATGGCGACGTTTCTGCAATCTCCCCAATCGTCTCGCATATAAACTTTGGGTGCCGGCACACTTTGTGTCGCCCCTTAACATGTTTTAATTCGCTTTGTACATTATGGTGCTGCACGCGTGGCAATAAAACACTAATTGAAACAGAAAGAATAAAACAAAAAGAGCTTCCTCCATCGAACCGGATTTGAACCACCGACCTATGGATGTCCACAGTTGTAACCTCTACAGTCCATCGCTCTACCAACTGAGCTATCGACGGAGGATGGAAGTACTACGGCGCTGATTCATCCTATATGCCGAAGGAATTGCAGGCAGTATAAAGGCTGACGATAAAACTAGAACCATGAAGCTGCATGACATTTACTTACCCACTCACGCGTATTTACCCCCGATGCTAGAAAAACGGCGACGTTTCTGCAACCTTCCCCGTCGTCTCGCAAATAAACTTTGGGTGCCAGCACACTTCGCGACGCGTATGACATGTTCTAATTCACTTTGTACATTATGGTGCTGCACATGTGGCAATAAATCACAAGTTAAAATATAAAGAATAAAAAAGCTTGCTCCATTGAGCCGGCTTCGAACCAGCGACCTATGGATGTCCGCAGTTGGAACCTCTACAGTCCACCGCTCTACCAACAGAACTATCGACGGAAGATGGCGGTACCACGGCGCTGATTCATCCTTTATGCCGAAGCGATCGCAGGCAGTATTGAGGCTGACGAAAAAACGAGAACCATGAAGCTGCATGACATTTAATTACCTTCTCACGTGTATTTACCCCCGATGCTAGTGAAATGGCGACGTTTCTGCAACCTTCCGAATCGTCTCGCATATAAACGTTGGGTGCCAGCACACTTTGTGTCGCGTATGACATGTTTTAATTCACTTTGTACATTATGGTGCTGCACATGGGGCAATAAATCACTAATTAAAACATAAAGAAAGAACAAAAAAGCTTGCTCCCTCGAGCCGGATTCGAACCAGTGACCTATGGATGTCCTCAGTTGGTACCTCTACAGTCCACCGCTCTACCAACTGAGCTATCGACGGAAGATGGCGGTACTGCGGCGCTGATTCATCCTTTATGCCGAAATAATCGCAGGCAGTATAGAGGCTGACGAAATAACGAGAACCATGATTGATTTGTGGGGTTTAACGTCCCAAAACCACCATATGATTATGAGAGACGCCGTAGTGGAGGGCTCCGGAAATTTCGACCACCTGGGGTTCTTTACCGTGCACCCAAAAAATAACGAGAACCATGAAGCTGTATGACATTTATTTACCCACTCACGCGTACTTACCCCCAATGCTAGTAAAATTGCGACGTTTCTGCAACCTTCCCAATCATCTCGCATATAAACTTTGGGTGCCAGCACACTTTGTGACGCGTATGACATGTTCTAATTCTCTTCATACATTATGGTGCTGCACATGTGACAATAAATTACTAAATAAAACATAAAGAATAACACAAAAAAGCTTGCTCCGTCGAGCCGGATTCAAACCAGCGAGCTATGGATGTCCGCAGTTGGAACCTTTACAGTCCACCGCTCTACCAACTGAGCTATCGACGGAAAATGGCGGTACTACGGTGCTGATTCATCCTTTATACCCAAGGAATCGCAGGCTGTATTGAGGCTGACGAAATAACGAGAACCATGAAGCTGCATGACATTTAACTACCCACTCACGCGTATTTACCCCCGATGCTAGTAAAATGGCGACGTTTCTGCAACCTTCCCAATCATCTCGCATATAAACTTTGGGTGCCAGCACACTTTGTGACGCGTATGACATGTTCTAATCCCCGCAGGGGCGCCTGCGCAAGTAGGCGTTTGGTGTGTAGCGACACCACGGACCCGAGCTAACGGGGGCGTTTCGGCTCCCTCCCACGCCTAGCCGTGCGTGGCTTTGCCGTGTCCGGGGAAAATGGGATCCTGGGGGTTGAGCCACTGCTGGGTGATTGGACCTTTAAGGCCCCCGGCAGAGGCAACACACCCTTTGGCCCCGGCTTCACGTAGACGGCACCCCTGGGCTGACCCACCCAGGGGAAATCGGTAGTCGCTTTTTCCTATTTCGCTCTCTCTCTCTACATCTTAGTCTTTTCTCGTCTTTAAATCTATCCTGTCTTCTTCTCTCTTCCATTTACTTCCGATTTTTCCTCGCGGCAAGGGTTAACCTTGTGTATGTGCTCTTTCTTGGGCACAATACATTTGGTTATAGCGGCTGTGTACAGCTGACGTTGACATGCCTCATATAAATTTAGGACTTGTCACGTCCCCGCGTTGGGCTCCATGATGGGCGGCTGGCACGGCTGCCGAACTCATATTTAGTTTATGGCTTTTTCTTCTCTCCCTTCATTGCACGATCGTCCTCTCTCAAAGAGAGTGTGCACCGAAGACTTTTTCAATTATTTCAGCAAACTGAAAGAAACCTTTCCCCGCTACCATGTAATCCATTGTGAAACCGCTGAAAAGAACGCCAGAACTATTTCGCCTTTCGTTGTTTCCAAATGCCTCACCACTACACCTGGACCAGGTTACCAGGCTACAAGAATGGCCAGTGGGGATCTCTTCCTCGAGGTAAAAAGTCAGAGCCAGTATAAAAACCTCTCAAAAGTAGAATCGTTTGGAAACATACCTATCTCAATTACACCACACCGCTCACTCAACACTTCCCGAGGCGTTGTATCTGATCAAGACTTGCTTCTTGCTTGACCTGACTGAAGGTGAGCTCCTCGAGAGCTGGAAGGACCAGCAGGTGACACAAGTACAAAGAATCAAAATTAGGCGTGATAAGAAGGAAATCCCAACAAAACACATAATTGTGACATTTTGCACCAGTGTCCTGCCTGAACATCTCGAAACAGGATACTTGAAGTTGAATGTGAGAACCTACATTCCCAACCCACGACGTTGCTTCAAATGCCAGCGTTTTGGTCACGGCTCTCAGAGTTGCCGCGGCCAACTCAGCTGCGGAAAGTGTGCCACCACAGGACACGCTACAGACGAGTGTAAGGTGGAGGATGGGGCCTACTGCGCAAACTGCGATGGTGCCCATCCCGCATACTCCCGAACCTGTCCAACATGGAAAAAGGAATTGTTACAATCAAAATCACACAAAACATTACTTTCCGAGAAGCCCGTCAACAAGTATCTGGTCTTTTCACAAACAAACCATCGTTCGCCGATGTAGTGCAACAGGGGGCAGCACTGCAACGGCTTGCGGCAACTGCCTATGGAAGGCACAGTGTGCCTAGGCGGTCGCCAATGCCCCCACCCACGGCGGGAACAGCCAAGGCTGCCCTGCCACTCGTCCCCACGGCGACAACCACGGCCGCTGCAAGCTCTTGCAGCGGCCAGGGTATCCCAGCACCAAAGGAGGTTCCTTCGACCTCTAGCCCAAGAGGACCGAAGGTTCCGCCCCCCGAGGTGAAGGAGACCCCAGGGTCGGCCGATATGAAGGCCTCGTCTCACCAGGCGAGGTCCCAAGCCCAAAACATCAGCTCGCAAATGCGGGCACGCAGTGCCTCTGAGGAGGCAATGGACACCACGGTACTCCTGGTGCCGAAAGATCGGCGTAGCTCCCTGGAGCGCGCCAAATGAAATAAAAAGCCAATAACGGGGCCCAGCGACGGCCCTGTTCTTTGAGTCTTAACGCTTAGCTTAAGAAGCAGACACACCCATTTTTCCTTACACACAGCACTATGTTACCTCCAATATGGCAACACAAATAATACATTGGAACGTCAGAGGACTGCTTAGAAACCTCGATGATGTTCAAGAGCTCTTTTGCAAACATTCGCCGAAAGTGCTGTGTGTACAGGAAAGTCATTTGAAATCTAAAAACAGGAATTTTTCGCGTTGGTATGTTCTCTTCCGAAAGGACAGAGATGATGCTGCGGCATCATCCGGTGGTGTAGCCATTATTGTTAATCAAAAAGTAGCATGCACACATTTACCACTGAAAACAACACTAGAGGCAGTGGCAGTTCTTTTCAACAAGCTCGTCACCATCTGCTCTTTGTACATACCCCCACACCACCGTCTTGGAAAACTAGAATTCGAGTCCTTAATAGATCAACTGCCCGAACCTTATCTGGTCCTTGGTGACCTGAATGCTCATAGCAGTCTATGGGGTGATTCTCGCTGCGATGCACGAGGTCGTCTCATTGAACAGTTCCTTTTTCCTCCGGTGCCTGTCTGTTGAGTAGAAAAGAGGCAACATATTATAACCTTGCCAACAAAACCTACTCTTCCATAGATCTCAGCATCGCATCTCCTTCACTTGTACCATTACTCCAATGAAAAGTTCTAAATAATCCCTACGTAAGTGACCAATTCCTGTTGTTTTCAGTACACAAACATCAAACGAATGTCCTCCACGAGTTCCCAAATGGCTTGTACACAAAGCCGACTGGGAACAGTTTCATAACAATGCTCAGTTATGTTGGAGTGACATATGTGGGCTAAGCATAGATGAAGCTGTGCAGTATTTCACAGCTCTCCTTATTAACGCAGCAGCCAAATGCATCCCACAAACATCTGGACAGCCCGGCAAGCGACACGTCCCATGGTGGAACACTGAGTGTCGTAATGCGCGAAAGGAGCAGAATAAGGCATGGAGGTTGCTTCGGAACTCACCGACAGCCGAAATTCTTGACACCTTCAAGAAAATAAAGTCTGAAGGCAGGAGAACGCGTCGGCAGGCCAAAAGAGAAAGCTGGCAGAAGTTTTTGTCAGGGATCAAATCATACACACAGGAGGCTAAAGTCTGGAACATGGTCGGTAGGATAGCAGGAAAACAAGTACACACACTTCCACTCGTAAACACTCAGGGTGATACCTTGGAAGATCAGGCAAACTTCCTCGGTGCACACTTTGAACGGTTATCCAGCTCGTCCCACTATACTGACACTTTCCAAAAATACAGAACAAGAATAGAAAAGCAGAAACTCGAACATAAATCCACCAGATACAAGGCATATAACCAAGCTTTCAGTCTGGCTGAGCTCCGAACATCTCTAAACTCGTGCAGTACTTCTGCCCCAGGTTCTGACCGTGTGGTGTATGAAATGTTAAAAAACCTACTAGCCGAAACACGAAAAACCTTACTTTGTTTGTACAATGCTATCTGGTTTTCTGGCACTATCCCTTCCTCCTGGAAACAGCTAGGCTATTATTATTCCCATTTTGAAAAAGGGCAAGGACCCTTTTTTAGCTTCAAGTTATAGGCCTATTGAAATTACAAGCTGCTTGTGCAAAGTCTTCGAAAAAAAAATGATAAACTGCCGACTTGTACATATCCTTGAAACAAACAATTTGCTCGACCCGTTTCAGTGCGGGTTTCGAGAAAGTAGCTCCACCACAGACCACATTGTTCGTATCGAGGCACAGATCAGAGACGCCTTCGTCCATAAACAATATTTTATCTCTGTGTTCCTCGATATCGAAAAGGCTTATGATACAACATGGCGTTTTCGAATTCTAAGAGACCTGTCCCACCTCGGTGTGCGCAGAAGAATGTTTCATATAATCGAAAGTTACCTGTCAAACCGGACATTGCGTGTCCGAGTGGGCAGTGTTCTCTCCCAAACATTGGTCCAGGAAACAGGCGTGCCACAAGGTGGTGTGCTTAGTTGCACACTTTTTATTATCAAAATGAATTCTTTGCACTTGTCCATCCCCCGCAATATGTTCTATTGTACATATGTCGACGACGTTCAGCTTGGCTTCAAGTCATGCAACTTGGCAATGTGTGAGCGGCAGGTTCAGCTGGTTTTAAACAAGGTCTCCAAATGGGCAGATGAAAACGGATTTCGACTTAACCCACAAAAAAGCACGTGGGCCTTGTTCTCTCGAAAGAGAGGCAAGCACTCGGAACCTGACATTCGACTGAACGGCCAACGTCTGTCCGTCAAAGCCGAGCATAAATTCTTAGGCTTAATCTTGGACAACAAGTTGACCTTCGTACCGCACATCAAGTATTTAAAAACAAAATGTTTAAAAGCCATGAATGTTATAAAAGTGTTGTCACGTACTACTTGGGGTAGTGATAGGCATTGCCTCATGAATCTGTATCGAAGCCTCATTCGCACCCGCTTAGATTATGGGGCCGTTGTTTATCAGTCTGCAACTCAAAGTGCTTTGAAGATGCTGGACCCCGTGCACCATTTGGACATCTGCCTTTCTACGGGTGCTTTTCGCACCACCCCCGTAGAAAGCCTCTATGTTGAGTCAAATGAGTGGTCGCTTCATCTGCAGAGAACTTACATGTCCTTTGTTTATTTCCTTAAGGTGAAAGCAGGATAAAAGCACCCCTCATACTCTACTATTAATGATTTGTCGAGCTCAATTCTGTTTCAAAACAGGCCTTCGATGAGGCAGCCCTTCTCAGTTCGCCTGAAAAGTCTAGCAGAGAAAACTGGAGTCTCACTCGAACACAGTTTATTGGCTCCTGTAGCATATCCGCCACCGTGGCAATGGCAGACTATAGACTGCGATGTGTCTTTTCTAGAAGTTACAAAACATGCGCCTATTGCCCTTATCCGAACATATTTCCTGGAACTTCAACA